ATTTCGGTATATAAAAGTTTCGGGAATTTCGGGTCAGTTTCGGGTTTCGAGTTTCGGGAAAAAAACACCCATCCCGAAACTAAGTTTCGGTATATACCGAAACCTAAAGGGTTTCGGGAGGTTTCGGTTTCGGGCCCCATGTTTAGTCACGTGATTAGTACAGTTGCGGTGTCTATTTTAAGGACACTCTTTTTTAAATTGTGAGTAACTGAATTCGAATATACGATTCCAATGATACATGACTGAAAATGGTCATAAAGATCTTGACCGGCTGATTTTATTGATTGTTAAAATTGGATTTGAAAAAATTGTGTTACATTTGGAAAAAATCATATTCTTGAATTAAGAAGCTTTTCTGATGACCCATGTAAACATTCAAGGTTCTAAACATTCTGTAATTTTATAATTCTACGTTTATAATTAGCCACACAACTCAGTACCCATTTTCAATTTGAAATTTACTAAGATTCGAAATTCGAATACGCGTACTTTGAATACTTATTTAAATGTATATTTTTGGTATTTCCTTCCATTACTCCTTTATTCCAAAAGAGTATTGATTGATAAAAGCTTAACCTAAATTTAATTAAGCGTTTTGGGGATGAAAAATGAAACTTTTTTAATTTAAACTAGTTCATTTTAATGTTACCCATTTTTAATTAAGTGAATCATAGACAACTTTATCAATTAGTATAATAATACATTGGGAGCTTTCCAAACAAATCTTATAAATCTTATTTGTGGACGTTAAATCCTTTATAAATTATCCTGTAATGTTAAATCATTTCATTTCCTAATTATAACATATTGTAAGAATTCGTGGTTATGGAAGTTCATTTCGCCGGTGGACTTTTCGCCGAAGCCATTTCATCGAAAGGGTATTTCGCAGAAGAGAAATTTAGTCGAATGGAATTTTCGCTGAATAGACATTTGCCGAATCCTTTTCTCTGAATCATCCATTTCACCGAAGTCAACTTCATCGAATAGGACATTCCGCCGAAATGTTAGCGATTGATTAAAATTTCAATCTAATACCCGAACTATAAATCTTTTTAGTAACAAAATTTTGTAAATATCATACGAATATTTTGGAAAATATGATTTAAATATCTGTTCGATGAAATATAATATTCGATGAATTATCTCTTCGGCGAAATGTCCCTTCGGCGAAATGGCTTCGGCGAAATGTGTTCGGTGAAATAAACTTCGGCGAAAAGTCAAGATTCCATTTATTATAATGTAATTGAAAGAATTTTAAGCAAGTTTTTTTTTCAAAATAACAAATTCAAAATTTACAGATACTTAGCCGAACGCATAAGCATAATGATCTTGGCAAAAAATCACCTGGAACAATTTCCTTTACGCAGATGGAAAAGTTCTAGGCGTCTAAATAATGAATTGCGCAGCACATATTTTATAATATTAAATAATGAATAATTATTTTTAAATCAATAAACGTTTTGCATGACTTAAAAATATCCTACAATGAAGTTTATACATAAAAAAACTTAATTCAAAATTCTTAATAGGTATTGACTTGAACTCGACTTGAGTCGGTTCTTGAAAATCGGTTTGAAGTCAGCTTCGATTTTTATTATGGTTAAAATAGTTCTAAACCAAGGAGACTCAGAATCTTCTGAATTTAGATCGGTTCAAGAATTGGCTCGATGCAAATCATCACGTGAAAATGTGATTACTCTCAAGAAACATTCAAGTTTGCAATTTCCAAATTAGAGTTTTTCGTTCAGCGGGTGATTAAACATTTCGGATTCGTTTCGCCTACTCATAAAGCCACACTTTTGATTTACGGAAAATAACTAAAAGGCAACTTGGATAATTTTCATGGTTTGAGTAGAGGCTGGATCCGTTATTCGTTTGAATTTTCAGTGGTCATAAAATTTATTTCGATTTTATACTATTCAAGAATTCTAATAGTAGTAAAGTCACATTTCTAGCTTTAATATTGATAGAATTATATTGTAAAATGTATTTTTCAGTTACTTCAGTAGTATATAGCAATAGATTCGCCATATATATATTCAATTACTACAACATTACGAAAATAAAATTTTGTCATTATAGATGATCATTGGCTTAATGACTACCTGCTAAATAACATCCGTTCAAACAACGGATCCATCTCCTAGTTTTGAGGCTTTAAATTCCGTGAACATATGAATAAAAAAAACACGGAATAAATTTTTATAGGGATTAAATAATGAATAAACAAAATAAACTAAAATACGCAAGATAAGGCTGTTGTTTTTATGGCTTATACAGTAGTGCGGTAGACGGGTAGAGGTATCAACAAGATAAAAAATCACGGGTCGATCAATTGATCAATCATACTGCACATACTGCATTGCCACCTAATAAGCCATAATTACGTATGATAAATTTCTTTTATTAGAAAATTTATGGCTTTTTATTAATAATTTTTATTACAAAAGATAAAAAAAAAAATCCGTTTTCTTTTAAATATGGCTACTTTTGAGTTTCAAAATTTTTCCAAAAAAAAAAAATAAAAAAAATACATTTAAAATACAATATGTCCAAATAAATGTCTCAGTTACCTGTAACTGCTATGACACACAATCATATATTAAAATTTAATATTTAAAAAATAAATTTATTCTATATTTACCCTATCAAATCCGTTCAGGACCTTTCTTGCGTTCTTTGAAGGTTCTGCATCTACTTGTTCACCCGTAACTTATACCATGACAAGTAAGTAATGGAAACCTTTGGGTTCGATTGGCATTTACCATAAAAATTTTTTACCTTCTTTATTATGTAAGTATCTTATTATAATATTATCAATTTCATCTTTAAGATTCCTTAATAATTTTATTGATATTGCAGTTTAACTCCATGCCTACCTCAACCAAACTCAAGGAATCCTAGCGTAAAAGACAAAATAATCATGGTACTTATGGGTTGGAGCGGGTATTGAGGTATTAATATGGAGAAATTATCCAGCATTTCAAAATAATTATATTTAGTATAGCATATATGGACATTTTTGATACCCCTATTATATAGGACGGGATATTTGGGTATTAGACCATGCTTCCAAGACATTTCCAATACAACATCCGATCTAACTAAATCATAACATGTGTTTAAACACGCTGTAAAGCACTCTTTGTTTCCAATTTGTACAAAATATTCCAAAAGTTCTTCTGCTACTTCGGTGGAACGTTAATATCATGAAAGGTGATGTCCATTTTAAAGATGACGGGAAAATTGGGTTATGGACGGGATAATTATATTTAGTATAGCATATATTGAACATTTTTGATAATTCCCTAGGATATGTTAGTAATATAAGGCAAGATTTCTTTTCAAAATATCGAACTACAACACAAATTAATCAATAAATTTACTAATAAAAAAAAGTTTTTCCCAAATAACTCGAATAAAAAAATTGTGTTATAATAATTTCGATTTATCATAATGTAAAAATTCCACCGTGGAACATTCTCTTTCCTTAGAAACGATCGGAAATCACGATCAAATACCCAACGGCACCCAGAAAAACAAATAGGATTTCCTTCATATAAAAAGTAAACAGTGAAACGTGAGGGTGTAACACATGATAAATAAAAAAAAATAGATCACGTGATCGAGGAATTAAGTTCACTCGAATACATCTTCCACCCGTGTTTCTAGCGACAAAAATTTTATCTTCATAGATTTAATTCATCAATGTATTTATTTAGGACATGATGATATGATACAACTTCAATTAAGGAGGATTTTAAATGTTAATAACACGCATTTTTTTATTAATTGTTTAAAGTTAGTAGTACTTTTAAAACAAACATTAGAAATACATAGAAAAAACAATTGTTTTAAAACTACCTGCTAACACAATACGTTATTACTAGTATTGTCAAAATAAACTATATACTATTTCCATTGATGTTAGCTAAAAGTTCTTTATACGTATTGCTCCAAATGTTATAATGAAATCTGTTTATCAAAATGCTGTTTCTACTATTTTATTTTCTAAAATGGCATGTGTAATGTTTTTTATTTTATCATCCATTGTTGTTTTTCACAAATTTTCTAATCCGTCACTATCAATCCCATAATTCTTATGTCCATCAACATTAGAAACCATTTTTCTCTTTTTCAATCTCGACTACTTTATCCCAGATGGATTTCCAAATGTCCTCTACTACTTCCCCACTTCTTTAGATTTTGCCATCTTTCCAAATTCCCTAGTATTAGATAAAACTCTGGTAATTTCGTGTACCTTAGTGTAGATACTACTAGTGTGGCGTTCCATTAAAATACTATATGTAGGTAAATCTTTTAATAGATTTTTAACTTCATAAGCTCTTTCGCGCGTATCTTCTTCAGTTGACTTGTTACATTTTATGAACTTTTATTACAATTACTAATGAACCAAAGTTTTGGGCCAACTTCTAGCAAATAATGTATATCTTCTAACTTGCTACACAATGCATATCTGTTTTATATCTAATATTTGATTTTCTTTTGATCCAATTTCTATAATTTCCATAGACTATTTATTTTTCCATCGCAAGGAGCATCTTTTAAGATTATGATTTATCGCTAAGCTGATTTCTTTAACTTTACTAAACTTTTATTCTTTAATTGATGCATTCAAACTTTCTAACGTTTTTTCCCATTTATTATGAGCTGCTGAACCGTCTTGCATACTTAATAACCGCAATGTATAAATATGTTACCCAATTATTAAGAAATTTAGTTCAATTACATCATACTACTAGCTACTATCTAACCTCTTTCTTATACTAAGACTGAAATTCTGTATCACTTTGGCTATGTTTTCTGTTGTTAATAAAATTAATTATAATTCCATGTAAAATTACCCTATCGATATTTATTGCATTCATCGGGTCCTTTCGATCATCATCCTTCTATTATCTAGAACATTGAAATGCATTCTGAAGAATAGGATAATTATTCTTATAATTTCGTACATATTTTGCATTACGTACTATCACTATTCCTCATCACTATCATGATTAAATTTTTTATATCGTCAATTTTCTCAGCATCCTCACTTATACCGTAATCAATCGCATCAATTTTCATATTAAATTCTTCATCTTTGTTACATTTTTTGACATAATTCATTTTGATTTTCGTGTGCTCGTATGTGCGACTAATCACGTAAGTTCCAAGTTCCATCTATAGGTCGGACACGATTCTCTCTTGATGACGGGCGATAATGAATTGTTGGAGTGGGAAGAACTCTTGCATCCATCTGTTCGCGTTATTGAAGATAAAATTATAATCAAAATATGATTTATAGATTCTATATCGCAATAATACATATTTTAAACCTACCAGGGCCATTTCATTAGATACTCTCATAACTTCTTCTTTTCTATAATTGATAATTCTTTTGCCCCTATTTTTGGCGGTCCATTTCCTTATATTTAAAGAACAACTTTTACACATTATCAAGTTAGATGATTATCAACACGATCTTCTTCTGATGGTATTAAATGCAAACCTATAATTGAAGCATGAAATTATAAATTAATCTTAGGAGATTTTATCATTAGTTTAAATATTATTATAGGTTAAATTACTATATGATTAGGCCAAATTAAACAGAGATTGCCTTAATAATTGATTGATTACCTTCAAATTAAACTCTTAATAAATTATTTGTAAATCCATTATTTTGTCCCAATACCATTTTTAATAGATAATGATAATATTCCTACTTCACGTTTTAACGCCAATCGGCAAACCTTCAGATCTTGTTCTCGTCCATTTTTCAATTTGGTAATATGTAATATGTAGCATCCGAAGAAATAGACCAAACGTGCATATATGATTGTTAAAAGAATTAGAAGCTGCTGCTATCAGTCCATTACCGATACATTACCATATTTACTATATTATTTTAATCATTGATTTTTTTTAAAAAAAAATTCGCGTGAATTTTTTCATATTGATTTCTTTCGCATTGATTGTATTGATTTTTTTTTCACATTAATATTTTTTTTGTGAATCTTCACGTGTCTAATCACGTTCTAATATAATAGTATATAAGCCTTTTATTCAGATTAAGTCCTCACATAATAAAATTCTCGTTGCCATCTTTTCTTTGAAGTAACTACTCTATGGTCTTCTAAGTTTCATCCCATTCAACAATTGAATTACTATAATCTCCCATGATTACTTCGCTCTTGTAAAGATTCTTTGATGTATTTAATACTAATTATTATCTCATGTTCGCTAATGGGTGAGAAAAAAAATATTACCAATCATTATTTGCATCTTTTTAGAGAAAGTGTACGTTCTATATAGTACGTCCCAATTCTTTGTTTTTCCAATATAATTTCCCAGCAAATAGGTATACTCATAATCCTTGATCGGAAAAGTATTATTCTATAGGTGAAGTGTACGGTATTTGTTGCATCAATTTTATCTTCATCCTTTTCAGTGATTGAGCATTTAGTGCTTAAAGTAACTAATATCATTAATGATGAATTTTAGTACAGCGATGATCTGAATTATTAATGATCGTTCCTGTCCTCATAGATTGATTTTGTGAGTGAATTTTGTATACTATGCGACTTCGTCTAATCTCTCCAGATTATTTACAATAATCTTAAATGTTTTACTTCCTATTTAGAATTCTCCTTGTAACTAGAGTTATAATAAACTACCCTTCAACTCATAAATTTTTCTCGATACACACCAAACACTTTTGATCTCAGATTTGGTGGATCAAGAGTATCTCTTACTACGTGTTACATAGTAGAGGCTAAAGAAATTGGAAAAATTATATAAGCATTTTCATGCATTTTTCTTTGATGTCGTTTTGAATAATGTTTACGTTCAACTGTTATTAAATCCATCGGACGTGCGATGCGAAGGTGATAAATCCGAGCCGATTCGTGTACAGGATTAATAAAAGGGCGACACTATCCTTGAGAAACAAAACAATCCAGTATATACGTCCATATACCTTGCCATACGAGTTTTTTCCTTCAGTTCTCAATTATCAATGATTTACTTCTTATTTTGTGAAGCATCTTAGTCAGAATTTGGATTTGTTTTTTTGTTTTGTTCGATCGCTTCACAAAATTATTAGATTCTGTACCATGAAGTCAAGCCGGAAAGCAAAGGGTTATGTGCATAATATCACAACTATACCAAAAACTCGAAAATCTCAGTAAATATTAATTAAATCAGAATATTTTCTGATGAATCACCATAAATGTAAATAGTTATCACCATTACGAATTCGTTCAAGTGGGGTAATAGTTTTATTAAATAATTAGCTCAATGTAATCTATTCAAATAAACATTAAATAATATTTAATTCTTAAATGTATTTAATTATTAATTAAATTACTCAAAATAAATAAAGAGTCTTTTCAATACCTGAGCTGCATTACTTCATTATGTTTAAATGTTGTCGCAAAAATGTTTATATGCTGCAACAACATAACAATCCATATTTAAATCTTGGCGGTTGATAGTAGTTAAGGAAAACTAGACGGAGCCCGGCCACAGCCCCACAGGCACTTCTTACTGTCTTTACTGTCTTCCTAGGATTTTATGTATTGAAATGAAAATTGATTGATGATGTCAGATCAAATTCTATGATAACCATTTAGTCGGTGACACACACTCGGCAAATCAAACAAATCAAATTGATCGAGTACACGTGCTAATCTGATAACTAATGGTTTTTTCTCCGCTCCGTATCTTTTTGTTTTCCACCTTTAAAGTAAGTATCATAGGAGGTTAAGAACCTATACGTGTTGTTTCTCCGCGCTTTTTTGTTTTCCACCTTTAAAGTAAGTAGGAGGTTTAGAACTATATGTGTTGTTTCTCCGCGCTTTTTTGTTTTCCACCTTTAAAATAGGATATATTCGTATCTAATTAGTAAAAGGGGATTTTTATATGTAATTATTTTTTGTGCCTTAATTTCTAGTTAATGCTTTTTGTTCAAGCTAGTCAGTTGCTTTAGCAGATGCGAAAACACTATTATGATGTTTCTCATGCATGGAAAGAACGGTTTCAGATCGCAAAAAGCAACTTAATCTAAAATCTGATGATTCAAGGAAATGATGTAAGTTATAAATAAATAAACGTTTCCTGAAACTTTTCATAATTATGAATCAACACAATAGAAATTCATAATTCTAATAATAATTCCAATTTAAAAAAGAACTTGGTGAATGCCTGAATGGTGATCGATCACAAGGTCTCCAAAACTAAGAAAACTCTGCTTCAAATTCTATTAACTACTACATGTTCAATAAACACGGTTTAATTAAAGTTGAAGACAAACCAATATTAATTAACAACCAAGAAAGATCGCAAGCGCTCTGTTACAAAATTTGATGTAAATAAGGATGATGATTCTATCCGATGGGAATTGATGATTAAACATCATCTCGAAGAAATTCCGAGTGTTTACCAAGCAATAACTAAAAAAGTTCAAACCGGAGATTAATGACGACAACGATTTTAAATCAGTCACTTTCGTCTTTCAAGAAAATGAAACGTGAGCAAAAAGTTATTAAAATCCGCGATCAATTACTCCAGAATTAAAATAATATCTTCTGTTCATCTTATTACTAATACTCAAGGGCACAAATGGGTGAGCTTAATGCTAGTGATACTAAAGCAACAAAATAATTGGAGTCCATTATCAAAGTAGCAACAAAAATAAGTTGATTACTGGTTTTTTCCAACGGATAAGACTTCAAGTAAAGAGTATGCAAATGAGTTACAAGAAAGAAGCTTGCCTTGATGGTTGCTATGATCTGTTATGATAAGAGTGGTATCGGACTGGCAGTTTATGTCAATGCAGAATAATACTTATTGGATGAGTAGTTCGTACTTGGGTTAGATAGGTCGAAGTTGAACGTGATGAATAAGTTGGATGTTTAAGTACTCGTTTGATTATTATTCATGAGTAATTGCATTCATAGGTACGTGTTGGTATTAAATTCTTTTAATAATTGTGAAATCATATTTAGGATTAATATCTTGTACCTCCTCGCAAATCTTAAAGATCTTACCGTTTCCGTCCTGTGTAATTGATAATATAGTTAATTGAGTATGGTATACAGTATACCTCCGATGTTGTATACTGTATACTGTAGTATGGTGTAAAAAAACTATACTGTATAGATAAAATGCTAACTATATAAATAAAAAACTATGACTGTATAGATTTTTGTCAACTATACAACATCAAATATCATACCCAATATCGTTTAACCGCTATATTTTGAACTTTTTAACAGTGGATATATTCCCATTTGAGATTGATAAATTTTATCGATCACTTTTTTAAGCCGGTGGAAAAGAAAAGGTGAAAAAATAATAATTTTTTTTATTTTTATTTTTATTTTTATTTTTTTTTATTAAAAAAACGACTTTTTTCCAAAGACTAGGGACAAATATGATCGGAATAAGAACGCCACTTTGAAACCAAAATCCCAATTAGGTAAGAGTTGAGCGTGGAGAACAAGATTTAAGGAACATTAGTATAATTTTACTAATGTTCCTTTTATTTTGTAGGTAGTACCTACCGGACGCTTAACTTGAGATCAGTTTCAATGGAAGGTTGGAATTAGGGAGTACGGCGAAAAGTCAGGATTCCATTTATTATAATGTAATTGAAAGAATTTTAAGCAAGTTTCTTTTTCAAAATAACAAATTCAAAATTTACAGATACTTAGCCGAACGCATAAGCATAATGATCTTGACAAAAAATCACTTGAAACAATTCCTTTACGCGTCTAAATAATGAATTGCGCAGCATAACAATATGATCATCGAGGGCGTATTTTTTTGTTAGTTGTAATAGTGATCTAATTTCATATAATAAACACATATTTCGTAATATTAAATAATGAATAATTTTTTATCAATAAACGTTTTACATGACTTAAAAATATCCTACTGTATAATGAAGTTTATACATAAAAAACTTAATTCAAAATTCTTAATAGGTATTGACTGATGACTCGACTTGAGTCAATTCTTGAAAATCGGTTTGAAGTCAGCTTCGATTTTTATTATGGTTAAAATAGTTCCAAACCCAGGAGACTCAGAATCTTTTGAATTTAGATCGGTTCAACGATGCAAATCATCACGTGAAAATGTGAAATTACTCTCAAGAAACATTCAAGTTTGCAATTTCCAAATTAGAGTTTTTCGTTCAGCGAGTGATGAAACATTTCGGATTCGTTTCGCCTACTCATAAAGCTAATTCATTGATTTACGGAAAATAAATTGGATAATTTTCATGGTTTTAGTAGAGGCTGGATCCGTTATTCGTTTGAATTTTCAGTGGTCATAAAATTTATTTCGATTTTATATATAGCAATAGATTCGCTATATATATATTCAATTACTACAACATTACGAAAATAAATTTTTAAAACTTTGTCATTATAGATGATCAAATTCCGTGAACATATGAATAAAAAAAAACACGGAATAAATTCTTTATAGGGATTAAATAATGAATAAATAAAATAAACTAAAATACGCAAAATAAGGCTGTTGTTTTTATGGCTTATACAGTAGTGCGGTAGACGGGTAGGGTATCAACAAGATAAAAAATCACGAAATCGCATCGGGTCGATCAATTGATCAATCATACTGCACATACTGCATTGCTACCTAATAAGCCATAATTCCGTATGATAAATTTCTTTTATTAGAAAATTTATGGCTATTTATTAATAATTTTTATTACATAAGATAAAAAAAAAAAAATTCGCGTCAATATTTTTCTTTTAAATAAATTTTTCCAAAAAAAAAAAAAAAAAA